CTATAACAGGACGGTGAAACATCGTTGACCTCTGTTCAAGAATTCACTTTTTCTTGCTTAAAAAATGTCACGACAGAGACTCGTGAGGTCAGCAAATCACCAAAATTTAGTATTTCCATGATGCTGTTCTATTATCCACTTACCATTTATGTGAGCGATGTGAAATAGTGTCTAATGCGAGGAATTTTTCACCAACTTTTGTAGAGGGGAGTAAGTTTGAAAAATTTTTAAGATCAACAGGTCGAGGCACATTGTTGCGTTAATTTGCTGGGGGCCAAAAATGGACCAATGATGAAACTAAAGCGAAAACAATTGATATAATACTAGCAGGGTGCAGCTATTTAGGGATGTGAATAATGTGCATTACGACAAAGCCAGATTAGCTTTCGCTTTTGAGTTCCTTGAGTGTTCTGTTGGCTACAGAAAGCAGCCTATGTTCTTTATCGCAAATGAAGTATGCATACCTCACCAAAAGGTTTCTAAAACTTCAACGACGCTACGTGTACTTCAACCATTTACATGAAAGTTATGTGTAGCAGTTAAAACTCGTATTAAACGGAAAATAAACACGCATACATTCTAGAACACTTATATCGATACGACACAAGCTGGCGGAGAAGGAGCTTAATAAAACAGGTTTAGCAGAAATGTGAAAAAGCACAGCGATCTCTACTATCGTCACTTTAGATTAGTGAAAATGTTAAAAAGTGACGTTATTTGATACATTTTATGATTTCATAATCTGATATGCTGAGTGTGTCAAATGTACGAAGGAACTCCTTTGTTTTGTTAGACAATAATGCTGAAAAAAGCAAAAAGCAAAAAGCAGATTACCCCCGCTACCATTTCGTTAAAGCATCAAAACATTTTGTGTGAGAATTATTCATTGTTGTTGTGGACAACGGTACAATATGAGATAAAGTGTAATAGTTTATTGCGCGTTGTTTTTACCTTCTATGTACAGATCAGAACATTTTGATCGCAAGCCTTCGGCGTGCGAGCCCGGCCATCACGATCCACAGCGGCAGTGAAAAGATCGAAAGGCAAACAATAGCATTTATCAGCCTTAGTTGTTCCTCAAGTCACTGAAATTAGCGTCGCTGGTAAGTACATTGTGTTATAGTCTAATTTTGTAGTATCTGTAACGGGCCACAACTTGCTAATTTTGAAACTGAAACGAAACATCTAACTGCTTTTGGACAATAGCAAAAAAATGCAACACAGTATATGTGTACGTGACAAACGATAGAATTTATTAGCCTTAGTTATTCCTCAAGGCACTGAGATTAGCCTCGCTAGTAAGTATATATTATGTTATAGTGTAAATTTGTAGTTTCTGTAGCGGGCCATGACTTGCTAATTTTAAAACTGCAACTAAACATCTAACTGCTTTTGGACAACAGCAAGAAACAGTACTGGTCTTCGATCTCGAGATTGATAAAGGATCACGAACTTTCTCGTCGATTTAGTCATTGCGTACATTTTGATGTTGGGGAGGTTGAATGTATTTTTTCTAAGAGAACACCGTAGAGGCAAAGTGGCACAAACAACTCCACAGTCGATTGGAGATCTTTTCGAATTCACCGTTGTTGTTTATAAACACTTTCCCCTAATTTTGTAACCTTATCCGCTCTTGGCTTGCTGTGTATTTTGATAAAGAAATTATAAGGTATGTTTTATTGCTGAAGATTGTGAACTTTAAACTGAATTGTTCGTTCGAAAGTTTTTCCTGCGGTGAAAGACTCTCAATATAGAACTTTTTCCTTGTTTGCTTCAAGAATTGTTTGCATGCAGTTCTAAGAAAAAATTTTGAGCAGAAAATTCTTGAAGAAGATATGCGAATATGTTTGACCACTGCCCAAGAGCTTACTCCAATTACTTGAAATATCACACCAGACACGACTGCAGTTAGAAAATCGCCTAATTGAGTAATTGCTTGATGTTGTCTTTTGTCTGCTTTGAATTCAGAGAGGAAATGTGGAATGGTGTGCAAATGAACCCCCCTTCTCTTCACCCCAGAACCCACTCCTGGCGATTCGAGAGATTCTTAAAATATTTTTATATTTAAAATTCGTGTTCCTGTTTACGCGTTGAAGGCTTGTTGTGCATGAGCAATTTGTTGTCTTGTGTGGTTGAAATTTTGACAGTTACACAGAAATCAAAACCAACTGTACTGTTGTAGTCACTGCATAGATTCTTTGAAAAAAATTTTTACATTCTGTTAAAAAGGCTTTTTAAAATCTTATGTTTTATCCTTGTTACTGCTCTGAAAAGGACTTTGACCGTATTTTAAATTCGATTGTTGTAATATCACGCCAGGCACCCATGCTCGAGGGTTGCTTTTTCATCTGTTGTTTTTTTGAGTTAAGGATGTAACAAAGGTATTTTTAATTCGATTGTTATAGTAATCACATCAGGCGCGGGTGTCTGAAGGTTGCCTCTTCATCCGCGTTTTTTCTTGAGTTAGGATGCTAGAATGGTGTGTATATTAAAGAAAAATTTGAGCAGAACATTCTAGAAGATATCCAAATATGATTGACCTCTGTTCAAGAGCTTACTCCAATTGCTTGAAATATCACACCAGACACGACTGCAGTTAGAGAATCGCCAGATTTAGTATTATTCTGCTTTGTATACATGGAGGGAATGCAGTGTAATGTTTGCAAGTAAACCTCCCTACCCCTCTCCCCACAACCCACTCCTGCCGATTCGAGAATTTCTTACAAATATTTCCTTGAGGACCGGTGGAGAAGAGGTAACGTGCTTTGCTTTCCCAGTTTTTATTTTTTCACTTACCCCGGACTTAACAGCTCTGCTTACACTTAAAGGATCAGCGTACAAACGTGACGTTTGCAGTTATCTACGTTATTCAAAGAGACGCAATGTCACTGGACTATTATTTGTTAGGGTCACAATACGTAACACTCTGGTTCCACTTTCGTGTTCCTGTTTACGAGTTGAAGGCTGATTGCGCATAAGCTATTTTTGTTTGTTTTCTTGCCTGGTTGAAATTTTGACGCTAACACAGAAATCAAAACCAACTGTTGAACTTATTTCATAGATACTTTGAAAAAAGATTATTAAAGTCTGTTAAAAAGGCTTTTTAAAATCTAATGTTTTATCCTTGTTGCTGCTGTGAAAAGGAGTTTGATCAAAACATTCTTGACAATATTTTAAATTCGGTTGTTGTAGTAATCAAGCCAGGCACCAGCGCCAGAAGGTTGCCTTTTATTTCGGTTTTTTCCTTGAGTTGGGAATGTTAGAATGATTTATATATTAATGCCCCCCTCCTTCCTCCCTCCCCCCCCCTCTTCACCTGATGGGGGAATTTTCTGGAGAAATACCCACAGGACCGGGGGAGGGGTGATATCCCATAACTGAAGGTGAACAACTCCTTTAGTCTCCTCGTTTTAGTCAATCAGTCCTTGGTCATTCTGAAAAAAGGAGTTTGATTCTAAATTGTTCAACCTTTGATTGAAGACAGTTCAAGTATTCCCAAGTTTTGTCAAACTTCTAGAACGGTATTATCATTTAACTCACTGATTCGAAAGTAAGTTCCAAAAAACCTTTTAAACGGAAGTTGCGTGACATGTGACTCACGCAGTCACAGTTAGGTTAAGATTGAAATAGGAGAGGTGATAATTAGAGTGATAGGTTTGAGGAGAGAGCGTTGGAAGTTTGTGACGTGGTGAACGTTAATGATAAACAATGAAAGAATTTGACGATTGAGAGTACAGTGTACCCCACAAGTTCGGTACACTTTTTCTCTAAATTTATTTTTTTTCCGATATCTAGCTTCACAGCAATTATTTCTTTCCTTTCGCCGAGAAACCACGGGTTACCATAGCACGTAAATTAAAGTTAACTATCACGTGTGGTGTGTATCATCATCCTCATTATCATCATCATCCGCCCAACCCCCCTGCTGCGTGCCGCCACACCAGCCACAATCCAGCCTTTCGATATCGCCTTGCCTTTTTCCTCTTTCAACAGTCCCTCTCCAACTGGTCTTTGGTCTCCCTCTCGCCCTTTGACATTCTGGTGTCCACCCCAATACCGCAATACCGTCTTTTAGATTTTCCATGTTTCACAACCATGTAGCAGGACCGATCGGACTAAAGTCTTGAATTGGCACATCTTGGCTCTCTTTCCTATTCTTCTGGCTACCCACACCTTCCATAGCCTCTGGAATGCACCTCGTGCCTTCTGCATTCTGTTCCTAATGTCTTCACTTCCTCCACCTTTCTTGTCTACAATAGCTTCAAGATACGCCACCACAATGCTCTCCCTGTTCGTTGCAAACTCCATCCTCAGTGTCTTGCTGTTGTCTTCCTCATGATCCAATCCATAGTCAGTAGGAATAAGAATCCTGTCATTACGCATCCCTGCTTTACTCTTGACTAAATCTTGAACCAGTCTGATATCTCCCATCCGTCGATTACGGCGCATTCAAACCCTCCGTATATCCCTACTACCACTCTCACCATCTTGCGCGGAATTCCATAGCTCCCCGTGGTGTTCCACGAGCTTTCTCTGTGTACCGTATCAAGGGCTTCTTTTCAAAGTCCACAAAGTGCGTGTGCAGACTCGCCCTCCAGTCGTTTGCCTGCTCTAAGATGTTTCTTTAATGTAAAGATCTGTTCAGTTGTATTTCCATTTGGTCTAAAGCCGGCCTGCTCTTTTTTAAGCTTCTTGTCTAAACCTTTCTAGATCCGTTCTAGCAGCATCCTGTGGAATATTCTATTGATGGTGGGTAGCAAAGTCACTCCTCTCCAATTATTACAATCACGCAAATCACCTTTCTTAAATATATTGACAACAAGTCCCTTCTTACACACTTCTGGCCACCTTTCTCTTTTCTAAAGCCTGTTATATCATCAGTCTGCCCACTTGCGGTGTATTCCATGTCAGCCCTTAGTAGGTCTGGGCACTGGCTTTGTTTTCCTGAACGCATCCTTAACCTCTTGTATTCGCCATCTTCCTATATCGATTTCCTCAATCTACTCCAGTTCTTCTGTTTCTTCTTTCTCTTCCACCGGATTTGTGGGGTCATCTCTGTTTAAAATTTTACTCAAGTTCTCTACCCAGCTCTGCAATCTTTCTTGTGATTCTGTCTTATGCACCCCCAGTTTGTCTTTCACACGCAATTCTCGCCTCCTCTGTTCCCGGCTATTGTCTTGGTTATGCTGTTTAGCTCCTCGTTTCTACCATTCTCAGCGGCCTTGTCTGTTGCTGTAGCCCTTTCCTCCAACCAATTCCTCTTATCCTCCCTAGCACTCTCTTTCACTTCCTTTTCTTTTGCACTATACTCCTTTCTCTATCGCTGTTCAAGTCCTTCCAATCTCGCACCCTCTATATTAAGTTTTGCGTCTTACCCCTCCTGAACTTTTCCCCAAGTCGTGTCTCCTATCCATGGCTTGCTCTCCTTTTTTACCTTCCAATAACTTTCTATGCGGCATCTCTGTACGTTACCATGATTTTGTCGTGCTTCCTTTGAATTTTCTATATCTCATATCGTTGCAAACCTGTTTTTCACTTTAATGTTATATCTCCTCCTGATCTCTTCACTTTGCAACTAACACACGTCAAATCTCACACTTGTTTTCTACTTCCCATGCGCCTTTGCCAACTTTAGTCTCATTCTGGCTCTCACCAGGTAGTAGTCACCATATATGTCTGCTCCTCCCATCACTCTTGTGTCCAGAATCGATGTTCTCATGCGTCCATTCACAAAGACATGGTCGAGCTGGTTAACAGTCTTCCCACCTGGTGACTTCCAGGTCAGCTAATGGATCTCTTTATGTGGGAAACTGTTCCATTTACAACTAAGCCATTCGTACCACAGAGGTCATGACCACTGCAGCGTGCAACAGAGTCTCGCAGTTGATTGTAAAATTCATCCTTTTCCTCGTCCATCGCATCGTCTGTTGGTACATATGCTTTTATTACCGTTAGCTTTTGTGTTTTGAGTAGAATCTTGCCTTAATGGTCCTCATGCAGATTGGCATCCATCTATTGAGGCTCTCTTTGTCCTCACACTCATCATGATGGGGACTCCTCTTTATTGCACTCCCTCATCTCCCACGTACGCCACCCTCTCACTACCTTGCAGTGTTCTTGATCCCATCCCTTTCCATCTGGTCTCGCTTATCCCTAACACTTCAATTCCACACCCTACCATCTCTTGGCCACTTGCGCTGTTCGTATTGCCTCCGCCATGGTCCTTACGTTCAAGAAACCGATGGTGATCTATTTCTTGGGGGCTATTATGGGGCCTATCGGCCTTTAGGCTTCCCGCCGGCTTTGGCCGAGGAGCGTCATTACGGCCCCAGCAGCAACACGTCCGGTTTGAGTTGTATCGTCGATGCATTCGGCTTGTTACATGTGTTTCTCTCCACGGGGCAGGGTTGTTAACCCTGCGCCCAACCCTCAACTGTGGGACGGGGGATCACTTTTTGTCTGGTTTTAACCCTTCGACCTGTTCGGCAAGGGTGACCCTACCAGGAGTGCAGGACTGCAGCCAGAATAGCTATAGGTGTCACTGAGATCGGGTCGGCGAACTTCTCTTGTATTTATGTAAGAGTGATGATTGGTTTTGACTTTATGCCAGCATGCTTGAACCAAGGGAAAAGTGATCCTTGATGTTAGGAGACTTGCCATTTAGCTTTTGTAAGAGTACCATCACCAATTACCTCACAAGCTGAAAAAAACTACCAGCTCAGCAAAAGACGATAATCGTACAGCTTAAAAACTCCCTTGTCATTGACTTCGACCATCAGTTCCCTGCGTAATTTTGTTCTTAGGCTGAGTGATTCAGTGTCAACATTTTAACCTAATTTTTCCTCTCTAATATGCGAAGGGACCAAATCAGGTGAGATCTGTCGAGTTCCATATTTCAGGTCGACTGTGTCTCGAAAAAATACCCATCGTGGAACCAAGTGAACACTGAAAGAAACAAACAAGTTAACAAATAGGGAAGCAAGTAGATGGTTTCTTTCACACACAAACCGTATCCCTGTTGCTTTGAACTCCTTTCTGTATGATACTGACGTTCGGAGTGACAGTGAATCTTTATCACTCTCTTTTCCTCCCTTCTATTAGCCTCTGACTTCATCGAGCAAATTGTTTCGAAAGCGAGATTTTTTCAATTGCCCTTACTTCCTCTCTAGAATATAATTGAAATGTATCAGCGAAAATATGTTGGTAGGTTATTAAATAATCACACCAAGTACCACAAAACCGTTGAAGGATCAGCAAAGGTATAGCGACCTACCGACATAACCGAATTAGGTACTAACATAACTATGGTTTTAATAGGATGTAACTGAAAATGGCCACTGGGTTGAAGTACACCACAGAGCAACTGAATTACTACAGGATTTGTTACGTTGTCACTGACATACTAACTGAGGGTCTGCGAACCATCTTCAAACAAGTATGGGACAATCGATACAAGACAACACTGGGAGAATGGAAAGATCAACCCAAAAATGGAATGGACTTCTGGAATGGTGAGTCTACTCGAAACAGAAAAAGAAACGCTGGGCTGTTGACAACCATGAAGAATGGCGATAGAGCCGAGTGGGATTGTACCATGCTGTTTTACGCTATCCTGTATTCAGATTGCATATATTCTCTTAATCCATCAATTAGATCAAATGCGGACGACTTAAGGAAATTTCGAAATGAAGAATTTGCACATATGCCTCGGGGCCACCTCTCCAACGGAGATTTCCAAACTGTCATTACAAAGGTTAAAACTGCATTCCACGCACTCGGTCTCCCGTCATTGAAAATCAACGAAGTTCAAAATCAGACAAACTTCTTAACGGAGGAGTTAAACGAAGTTTTAAGGAAGGTTGACGACTTGAAACAAGAAGTTAAAGACAAAGAAGAGGAACTTCAAGTGAAAGAAGAACAGAGGCTTGCCCTAGAAGAGCAATTAAATTTCGATGTCTCTCCATTTTGTATTCTCCCTCCCAAACCTAGCCACGACATCGCTAGTCGGGAATCTGAAGTTGGTGAAGTTTTACAAAACCTCCAAACACTAAAAGACGCCAATGATGGGTTGAGCATACTGTATTTGTCAGGAAATCCAGGAAGTGGAAAATCTCAGCTGGCCCGTTTAGCAGCCAGGCGATTTTACGACGAGGTCGAACAAATACCTTCTGCAGCTTCATTTGTCATGACGTTGAATGCTGAAAACTCAGAAGCACTCTTGAAATCGTATGTCCTTTTCGCTCAACATTGCAATTGTCCCGGGTATGAAATAACAAACACTTACCGCTCCAAGGATTTGAACACAGACGAGAAGATTTCATATTTCAAGACCTTAATAAGTACAAAAATTGAGCATTACGCTTCATGGCTGTTAGTAGTTGATAATGTGACCAGCGAATCTCGTACAAGCGATTATTTGCCAGATGCAGACAGCGAGTTGTGGGCAAGGGGTCAGATGCTAATAACAACAAAAGACACTGCGTCTATACCGTTGTCAAGCTCTTCCATACAAAATATCTCAATCAGCGCAGGAATGCAACCTGATGATGCGTGCTTTCTGCTTAACCTCCTTTCTGGTATCTCAGATGCCAAGATGGAAAAAGAAATTGCGAAAGAACTAGACTACCAGCCACTTTCATTGGCAGCCGCAGCCACGTATGTGAGACAAGTTCGTCAGAATAAAGGAACCTCGAAATTTGGCTGGACCGACTATTTGAAGAAATTGGAAGAGGGGAAACGAAGCAATACTGAAAGCATTCTTGCTGCGACAAATCCAGCCTATCCGCAGACCATGACCAAAGCAATAACACTCGCTGTCGAAATGGTGATGGAAAATGATATAATTTTGCATCACATGTTCCTTTTTCTTTCAATGTGTGCATCACAGCCGATACTGCAAGACATTATTATCGAGTATGTTAAAACAACTGATGACGAATTTGAAGATGAAGATATGATAAGAACGAAGATGAGTCGATGTTCACTGTTGCTAATTGAAGAAGAATCAACTGGTGTTTATATTCGAGTCCATAGTGTCGTTCTTGATGTTATTAAATCTGCGACAAAAGGTTTCGCAAAGGATCAAAGCCACAAAGTGGTGTATGGCGCGGTAATGTCTTTCTCAAAATTTGAAGAGCTGGAATCTATTGTTGTGGGAACAAGAATAGTTCCCCATCTTACAACGTTGAGCTTAAAAATTGAAGACATGTCACTCGGGAAAGGAATACCAGAAGCGAGCAATAGAGCCTTGTGTAATTTTCCGGATGACCTTTGGAGCCTTACTAACATGTGCCTAAACCACAGTAGGTTTAGAGCGGCGCTAGTCTATGGTAAATGGCTGTTAAAAATTCAAATAAAAAAGCTGGGACCTGCGCATGTTGATGTTGCAAGCTCTTACAACATTCTGGGTACTTTACACAAGGCTCTGGGCGACACAGATGAAGCAAAAGACTGCTATAAGCGTGCACTGGAGATTCAGATGAAACAGCTGGGACCTGAGCATGTTCATGTTGCAAGGTCTTACAACAATCTGGGTAATTTACACAGTGATCTGGGCGACACAGATGAAGCAAAAGACTGCTATAAGCGTGCACTGGAGATTCAGATGAAGCAGCTGGGACCTGAGCATGTTGATGTTGCAAGCTCTTACAACAATCTGGGTACTTTACACAGTGATCTGGGCGACACAGATGAAGCAAAAGACTGCTATAAGCGTGCACTGGAGATTCAGATGAAACAGCTGGGACCTGAGCATGTTGATGTTGCAAGGTCTTACAACAATCTGGGTACTTTACACAGTGATCTGGGCGACACAGATGAAGCAAAAGACTGCTATAAGCGTGCACTGGAGATTCAGATGAAACAGCTGGGACCTGAGCATGTTGATGTTGCAAGCTCTTACAACAATCTGGGTAATTTACACAGTGATCTGGGCGACACAGATGAAGCAAAAGACTGCTATAAGCGTGCACTGGAGATTCAGATGAAACAGCTGGGACCTGAGCATGTTCATGTTGCAAACTCTTACAACAATCTGGGTAGTTTACACAGTCATCTGGGCGACACAGATGAAGCAAAAGACTGCTATAAGCGTGCACTGGAGATTCAGATGAAACAGCTGGGACCTGAGCATGTTGATGTTGCAAGGTCTTACAACAATCTGGGTAATTTACACAGTGATCTGGGCGACACAGATGAAGCAAAAGACTGCTATAAGCGTGCACTGGAGATTCAGATGAAACAGCTGGGACCTGAGCATGTTGATGTTGCAACCTCTTACAACAATCTGGGTAATTTACACAGTCATCTGGGCGACACAGATGAAGCAAAAGACTGCTATAAGCGTGCACTGGAGATTAAGATGAAACAGCTGGGACCTGAGCATGTTGATGTTGCAACGTCTTACAACAATCTGGGTACTTTACACAGTGATCTGGGCGACACAGATGAAGCAAAAGACTGCTATAAGCGTGCACTGGAGATTCAGATGAAACAGCTGGGACCTGAGCATGTTCATGTTGCAACCTCTTACAACAATCTGGGTACTTTACACAGTGATCTGGGCGACACAGATGAAGCAAAAGACTGCTATAAGCGTGCACTGGAGATTCGTCTGAAACAGCTGGGACCTGAGCATGTTGATGTTGCAACCTCTTACAACAATCTGGGTACTTTACACAAGGCTCTGGGCGACACAGATGAAGCAAAAGACTGCTATAAGCGTGCACTGGAGATTAAGATGAAACAGCTGGGACCTGAGCATGTTCATGTTGCAAGGTCTTACAACAATCTGGGTAATTTACACAGTCATCTGGGCGACACAGATGAAGCAAAAGACTGCTATAAGCGTGCACTGGAGATTCAGATGAAACAGCTGGGACCTGAGCATGTTGATGTTGCAAGGTCTTACAACAATCTGGGAAATTTACACAGTGATCTGGGCGACACAGATGAAGCAAAAGACTGCTATATGCGTGCACTGGAGATTCAGATGAAACAGCTGGGACCTGAGCATGTTCATGTTGCAAGGTCTTAAAACAACCTGGGTAATTTACACAGTGATCTGGGCGACACAGATGAAGCAAAAGACTGCTATAAGCGTGCACTGGAGATTCATATGAAACAGCTGGGACCTGAGCATGTTCATGTTGCAAGCTCTTACAACAATCTGGGTACTTTACA